TTCCAGAGAAGAAATCTGCTGCAATATTTGGGCTCATCTTGTTTGTTTTACCTCTTTCCAAGATCACAATCTTACTATGTCTATTATTGTCTGATGCCTGAAAACACTTATTTCATACAGCTGGTTCAGTTTTACATTGATTTTGGTAGGAGGGTTAGTCTGGTACCAGTTACTCATTCATGACTGGATCACTCTTAACATTTTTAAAATGCAAACTTTCTATTGAATAATAAAATATATATTGCAAAGGTATATAAATCATAAGTGTACAGCTTGATGAATTTTCATTAATTGAACACACTGGTGAAACTAGCACTCAGATCAAGAAGGAGAACATTATTAGAAGTCCAGAAGCCCCCTAATGCCCCTTTCTAAACATTAATACCACTTAAGAGTAAGCAATATCCTGACTTCCATCATCATATATTAGGTTGCCTGTTGTGAACATTATACACATGAAACAATATAGTATGTATTTTGTGTGTGTGTGTGTCTGGCTTCTTTTGCTCATCATTATGATTGTGAGATTTATCCATGTTTTCTGTGTAGCTGTAGATTGTACATTATCTTTTCTGTATAGTATTCCACTATGTGAATATTCCAAAATTTATTTATCCAATTTATTGTTGATGGGTGTCTTAGCCATCTAGTGCTGCTATAACAGAGATACCACAAGTGGATGGCTTTAACAAAGAGAAGTTTATTTTTTCACAGTCTAGTAGGCTACAAGTCCAAATTCAGGGCATCAGCTCTAGGAGAAGGCTTTCTCTGTCAGCTCTGGAGGAAGGTCCTTGTGATGCATCAGTCTTCCCTTGGTCTGGGAGCATCTCAGAGCAGGAACCTCAGGTCCAAAGGACACACTCTGCTCCTGGCACTACTTTCTTGGTGGTATGAGGTCCACATGTGTTTCTGCTCACTTCTCTCTTTTATATCTCAAAAGAGATTGGCTTAAGACACTATCTCGTAGACCTCATCAGTGTAACTGCCACTAATCCATCTTACTGCATCATAATGATAGAGTTTACAACACATAAGGAAATCATATCAGATTACAAAATGGTACACAATCATACAATATTGCGAATCATGACCCAGCCAAGTTGACAGATATTTTGGGGGGACACAATTCATCCATGACAATGGGCATTTGAGTTATTTCTAGTTTAGGGCTGTTATGAATAATGCCATTCTTGGTTTTTTGTGAACTTATGAATACATTTCTTTTGAGTATAGATCTAGGAGTAGAATTGCTGGGTTAAAGGGTAGGCATATATTCAGCTTTAGTAGATACTGACAAGCAGGTTTTCAAGGTGTCTTCACCATACTCTTAAAATTTTAACATGCGTATTTAAAATTAAACTTCTCTAGCACAGTCTAGATTTAATCTATCTGTTCTTCTCCAAACAAAACGAGAACCTTTGCGTGCTTTTACTTCAATCATTTTCCCACCATCTCCCATGTAAAGACCACCTGGTAGTTTAGATTCAGCTTATTACCACTTTTCTTTGTTCAAATAAGTCAACATTAATTTAGACTTACTTGGATTGCCTCCCTGCCTTTTAGTCCTAGTCCTTCTCCTCCTAGTCCTAGTGCTTCTTCCAGGGTGGGGGCGGGGGGTTGGTGACAGACACTTCTGTTGCCCGCTGCTAAGGCACAAGCGGTGGAGAGGGAGGAACTAAAGCAACTGATTCCTTCTGCTGAGATATCTCAATAAATCATCCTGATATTAGCTCCAGGGCTTTCCCCTACTCCCTCTATTTACCACTTCTGATCTGGGAGCACCACCAAACTAGGTACCACTTGTGCTGTATTGTTTGTTTGTTTTTAGGACATTTGTTATGGAGGAGGAGACTGGACTATGTGGTTAGTCTGGCATCTTCATTTACTTTTTGTACTAGGCCTTTATCCTAGGCTTTCTACACTCTCTCCTTAAGTGCTCATCCATGGCTTTAAATATTGTCTCCACTCCAACCATCAAATTTATATAAGTTGTTCAGACCTTTACTCTGAACTCCAGACCTACATATCCAAATCTGCTTGACATCTCCATTTATAACAATCTCAAATTTAACATACCCCAAAACATTTGCTCCTCCTATGTTCCCTGAATCGATAAATGACTTATTCATCTTAATCTATCTAGTTATTTCTAGCAGAAGCTCAGAGTCATCCTTAATAGTCCTCTTTTCTTCACCCCTCCTGGCAAACCAATCCATTATAAAGTCCCTTGGATTCCACCTTCAATTTATACAAGTCTTGAAATTATCCACCTCTCTCTGTCTCTGTCATTACTCTAGTTCAATCCACCATCATCTCTGGCCTTGACTCATGCAACTGCCTCCAAACTGACCTTCCAGTAACCCCTTTTGCCCTCTTCCAACCTATTCCCACAAGCAACTTATGTGAGCTTTTAAATATGTAAATAAGATCATACTTAACCCTCTCTATTAGCTGCACTTTGACCCTAGGATATATTGGAAAATATAGTCTGAAGTCTATAATGTGGCCAGTGAGACCTTGCATGGTCTGGCCCCTGCCTGTTTCGGCCCAAACTTCTCCTTGCTCCCCACACTCCAGCCACACTGGCTTCCTTTCCGTTTCTAGAATATGCCAATTCTTTCATGCCCCAATAACCTCACACATAATGTTCCCTTTGCCTGGAACATTCTTTAAGTCTCTTTTATATGCCTGGAGTTTAAAAGGCACTTCAGAGAACTCTTCCCTGACAGTGCAAAATTAATCCATCATGGCGCCCGCTAATCTTTCTTCATAGTACTGATGAGGTGTGATCGATCACTTTTGTGTGGCCTTTCTAGCCATGGCCATGGTCTTGTAACTCCCACCCACATGATTGGGTGGGACTGTGTGGTAGGGTAATTGTGGCCCACCGAGGGGATTGGTCAGTTTTGCCCTTCCTCTGGGTTTGAAATGAGCCACCCCAGAGGTGGGAAAAAGAGCCCACCACCACCAAGGAAGGAGAGATCGGCAGCAGAGACCTGGCAGCAGGAGTCGGCGAGGTAAGCTTCCCAGCCCACGGAGAGAAAAAGCCGAATGTCTTTGGGCAGAGGCTGAGGGCCAGGGAGAGGCGTGCCGGTGAGTTCTGCTGGGAAGAGGCTGTCCTGATGGAAGAACTGTATCCTTGAGTGTTCCCAAACCTGAATTGTAACCTGTTACTTCCCTAATAAACACTATAATTGTGAGTATGGTCTGTGAGTTCTGTGTGGCCATTGCAATGAATTACCGAACCCAGCAGAGAAGTAGAGAGTGCCATGGGAGGGACGGTTGGTGTCAGAGTTGGTAAAGATCTTCCTTTCCCGTTATGAAGTTAGAGGAGGTCAGACAGCGCCCCCATACCGTTTTTACAACTGATTACAATTTAAAATTATGATTTGGTTTATATTTGAAGGTTTGTTACTCCTACTACACCTTAAATTCCATCGTGTGTTATGTTCACTCCTGTAACCTGATGTGTAACACTGTGCATGGCACATGGTCAACGTTCAGTAAATACTTGTTTAAATAACGCATGGCTGATATAAAGGCTGGAAGCCGCTGCACTTCTCTGCCTGGGCTAGGTTCCTTCTTGCGTGTAGTGGTAGATGGAGACAGGCACCTTCTTTGCTCCCCCACAGGGGGCTTTTCCCGGAGCAGAGTAAGTGTTTGCTGCAGGGCTGTGTGTGAGACCGCCTGCATATCAGAGATGGCAGTCAGGGGAAATTATCCCTATTTCTGTGGTACAACGTAGTTCTGTTAACAGGACTGTGCACTTCCCGGGCGCAGGTGCGAGAAAAGCCGCCAATCTCCCCTGGAGGGGCGGGACTAACGCGGGACCAACGAGGGCCCGGGTGAGGGTGGGTCAGTGTGTCCTCCCCACAGAACCTGATTGGTCTGTGGAAGCCGAGGGAACAGGGACGGGGCTTGATTCCATCGGGCGCGAGCCACGTTGGACGCGGTGCAGCCCCGCGTGAAGGCCACTCCCCGGCCCACAATGCACTGCGGGGCGCGTCACGCGGAGCGGCCGGGTCCTGGCTCGACAGGTATGGACCGGCCTTTCCCAGTCGTCTACCTTGGTTTTCAGGACCGCTCGGACCCTGGGCCGGCAGTTCCCCTTGCTCTGTCCGTCTCCCGCCCTTCCTCGGCCGTAACCTTAGCCCTAGTCCTCGTTCTCGGGACTACGGACCTACTCCCGGCCAGGAACCGAGCCCGAGCCGTGGGAGCGGGAGCCGGGTGTCTTTGGAGCTGCGGAGCTCCGGAGGGCGGGCTTGCGGGGACTCCGTCTCCTTCGGCTTTAGGGGTACATGAGCCGCGAGGGCGGCGGTTGCCCCTCGGCTGACCTGCCTCGGGGGGACGCTGGAGGGGGGAGGGACAGTCTCCTGGGCTGCCAGGGTTGAGGGGAGCTCTCTGGAGCCCAAATGTCAGAAATACGATGATCCACCTGGCTGCTGAGGTGACATTTCCTGTTTCTTTTAGGCAGGGTGGGATTTGAACCAGTCACTTACTTTGCGTTTTGTGGGATTGAACGAGCATTGAGCCCAGAAATTTGCCCGCTTTGGTTCACGGAAACTTCCGGAGGTATTGAGCCAGGAGGCCCAGTTAATGGCGCTTTAGGAACTAAGTGACTTAAGGGAGACCTGAGCAATTGGTTCTACAGGTGGAGGAGGACTCCGAAAGAGGAGGCCGAGCCCGAGCCGGCTTGAGTCTGTGACGGTGAAAACAGCTTTGGACTTTTCTCCTGCTCCTGAGTTTCCTGATCATCCACCTGGAACGGGAGGTGTGGAGAGACTGAGAACCAGCCCGTCCTGTGTCTGTTGAGCCAAGCAAAGCCCAGCTCAGGGCTAAAGTGCCGGCCGCCAGACGGGAGACGGTTCAGATCCTAGTCGACAGGTGGAACTGGCCACTTAAAATCTCTGAATCACATTCCAAGTTACTTGCCATTTCTTCACGTGTTGCGACTGCGAGGAATTAGTACATAAACACTACCGACAATTTCTGGTACGTGAAAGTGGTGGTTCAGCGCTTGAATCGGACACCTGTGACCATGCCCTAAGTTAATGGGCCATCTGGGTATTTCCTACATTGAGAACCATCCCATCAGTTCTTTTTTCTGGTTGTATCACTGATTAAAACAAACAAACAACTAATTATATTTTATATTGATGTGTGAAAGAAGCCTAGGTCCTATCAAAGGGATGACTGACCTTCCTTTCCACGTATTTCAGTGAGAATCTTGGATTTGTTGAGAGGTATTGTTTCAGCGTGATTAGAGTTAGGCCTGAGCTTAAATCCCTACTCTCACTAGTTTAGGGATTGAACAAGTTACTTCTCTGGGCCTAATTTCCTCAAGGTAAAATGGAGCTAATGATAATCACCTCATAGGTTATTGAAAGGCTTAAATGAAGTAATGTGTGTAAAGTGCCTGGTCCATAGAAAGTAATCAATAAAAATTAAAAACTGCATTGTTGAGTCGATTCCGACTCATAGCAACCCTATAGCAAATATTTAATATGGTACTTATAGTCTGCAAGGCAGTGTTTCAGGTGCTTTACATTTAATCTTTAAAATAACCCTATGAGGTAGATACTACTATTGATAGCCACAATTTACAGGTGAGGAAATTGAGGTATAGAAGGGCACATTAGCTTGCTCGTGGTTACGTAGCTAGTACATGGTGGAACCAAGACTTGAACCAGGCCCATTGCTTGAACCAGCCAATTGCTCCAGAGTGCATTCTCTTAACTGCTATACTGTACTGCCTCTTAAAATGTAAGCTGTTATTCTGTTAGTTTAAAATGAGTAACTAGATAGTTTCTGTACCACTGGATTCTTGACCTTTGTTGGTTTTGGGAGACTGATAATAGCAACGTGATATAGGAATATGAGGAACTTAGGTTTAAGTACCAGTTCTGCCATATATTAGCAGTGTGACATTGAGAAAGTGAGCCTCATTTCCTCTTCTGTAAAATGCAAGATTATGCCTACCCCACTGTTTAGAACTACGTGGTGCTACACATACGTTGGGGATTGATACATTTGATCGTGATCTAGCTGAAATGGAGAGGTAAGGATTAATTTAGTCTCCGAAATACAATACTTTTGAAAACTACAAAATGTTGATCAAAATTTTGAATTTTCACTGGTTGCCCCTACTGCTAGTGAAGGAGAAGCATCTAGTGGCGTTGAGTTTAATGGCCTGGTAGAGAATAGTTATCACTTAATTTCAAACTGGGGGGAAATTTTAATTCAGTGTTTTTCAAAGTATGGCCCTTAGACTAAACATTGTAATCGCATAGGGAGTTTGCTAAAATTGAGGATTCGCAGGCCCCACTCCAGAGTCAGTGAATCAGACTTTTTGGAGGGTGGACCCAGAAATCTGCATTTCTAACCAAACTTCAACAATTCTTACATGAACTAACATTTGAGCTCTACTGTGTATTTTATCAAAGTTTGACTGTTTACCTGATTGCTTTTAGACCCAGACCTGTGAAGTTTTTTCTGTGTTTTTGTAATGCATGAATTCTTTACCAGAATTCAATAAAAGAGACCATTATGATTTACTTTGTGGTAAAAAGATTGAGGACAGTATTAAAACCAGTGTTCTTTTGACTTTATGATTTATTTTAAATAAAAACTTTTTTTTCTGATTATAAAAGTAACATGCTCATTGTGGAATATTGTGAAAATTTAGGAAATTATAAAATTATAATAATCACCCATAATACTATTTCTTGAAGATAAGCATTATTCTAATTTTGATCTTTCCTTCCAGAGTCTATTTCTCCATTTACCCTCTCTTCATTCTTTATCTTTATGAAAAACAAGATTTGAAATTTTCATCCTGCCTTATTCTACCTAACATATAAGCATTTTACCGCATTATTATCTTTTTTCCACATACTTTTTAGTTGCTGCATTATATTTCATCATATAGGTGTACTATAATTTACTTAATCATCCTGCTATTGTTGGATATTTAGGATGTTTTCGGTTATTTCTGTGGACGAATATCTTTCTGTTTAAAAATTTGTCTGACTCTATCTGTCTCAGGATAGGGTCATGTATTTAAATTTATTGGGGTCAAAGGGGATAAATATGTTTAAACTCTTGTTGAGTATAGCCAGATTGTTTGTTTCAAGAAAGGTGTTTATACCACTTCTTTCTTCCACCTGTTACTTATGAGAATGCCAGACAGAAGAAAGTGTTATTTTTTTAAAGCTAAATGGTTAAGTGAAGCATAGTATGTTATTTTAATTAGTATTTCTTTGACTTCTAGTGAGTTGAACGTTTTTGCATATGCTTATCAGCTTTGGCTTTGATTTTTATCTAACCCAAATTGTTCCTTTTGTTTTAGGTCTTCTCTGTCAGCTGAAATGTCTATGATTTTATCTGCCTCAGTCATTCGTGTCAGAGATGGACTGCCACTTTCTGCTTCTACTGATTATGAACAAAACACCGGAGTGCAGGAGTGCAGAAAGTATTTTAAAATGCTCTCGAGGAAACTTGCTCAGCTTCCTGATAGATGTACACTGAAAACTGGACATTATAACATTAAGTAAGACTTCAGTTTGCTCCATTTGACTTACTTGCCTGGTGGTTGTCATTTTAATAAACTTAAGCGGTTGCAATATAAATTAGTGTTTGATTAGGAAAACCTGCTCAAGTCAAGAATCATGTGATTCTCACCTTATACTAAATAGTAGTCATCACCCTTCTTGCAGTTTCTCTGCATTTATTTATAGGGTCACTATGAGTCAGAATTGACTCCATAGCAGTGGGTTTGGTTTGGTTTTTTAAGAAAATTTTGCAGATTATAGGTATTCCTTTTTATAAGTAGACCACAAGGTATTTATTGGCATTCTCACATACCCGGGACTTTAGTAGGCAAGCCGTAATGGGAAATATAAAAAATCTTACCTGATACCTGCCCTAAAGGAACTTAAAGAAGCTTCCATTCTAGCGGGAGGAGATAGCACCTATCACTCTTTATTGCCTGTGAAGAAAATACAGCTGGGCAATGGGATAGAAAATGACTTTATCTGTGGTGGTTAAAGATCCCTTTGAGAGGGTGACACTTGAGCAGAGACCTAACAGATAAGAAAGGAGGAGGTCATATGAAGAGTGCTGTGGATGAAGAGTGAGGCAGGTAACAGCCAGTGCAGAAGCCCTTAGTCAAGGGATGGAAAGAAATCCAGTGATGTGGAGCCTTGTGGACAATTAATAGGAGTGCAGGTTGGAAGGTGAGGTTGGAAAGGTAGGAATGGGCCTTATAGGCCATGATGAGGAGTTTGGATTGAGTCTAATGTAATAGGAAGCTGGTGGAGATTTTTAAACTGGAGAGTTATATGGTCTGATTTTGATTTTGAGTAGATCATCCTGGCTGCTCTGTGAAGAGTGGGCAGTAAGGGAAAAGGAGTGGAAGCAGAGAGATCACTTAGGGGAATCTTAGAGACGTTCAGGTAGAGGTGAAGCTTGTAACTTGAACGAGGGTGATCATGATAAGAAGTGTAGATTTAGACTGTATTTACGGTTAAGGGCTTGACTACTAACCAATAGATTGGTGGTTTGAACCCACTCAGAGATGCCTCAGAAGAAAGGCCTGGTGATCTGTTTCTGAAAGCCACAGCCTTGAAAATCTTGTGGAGCACAGTTCTACTCTGCAACACATAGGGTCACCATGAGTTGGAATCAACTTGACGGCAGCTGGTTTGATTTTGGTTTGAGGAGTAGCACCAACAAATCTTCCTAATGGATTGATGTGGAATATGAGGAAAAGAGAAGAGTCAAGAATCACCTGTAGATTTTTGGCCTGAGGAACTGGATAGATAATAGGGCTGAAATGAGTAAGACTGGAGGATAAGTGTGTTTCAGTGGTAAAGGTCAAGAGTTGTGTGGACATGTTAAGTCTGAGATGCCTGTTAGGTATCCAAGTGGCACTGTCAGGAAGACAGCTGGATGTAAGTGTGAAGTTTAGTGAAGAGCACAAGTATGGAGATTCAGCTTATGGTTTGTAATAAAGTCAGGGGAATAGATGAGACCATCTTTGTGAGCATACCCAGGAAACAGAACAATTTGCTTCTGAGCTGTTTGATACTGATCATGTGTGCAGTAGGAAATCAGACAAGAACATGGTCCATATGGGATATAATAAGTGGATGGCTTTATTATTGAGATGAGACTTGAGCCATGTCCTGAAATATTATTAAGATTTGGCTAAGGCAGTGAAGAGAGCTTTCTGGGTGTGGGGAGGAGAATAAGCCAAGAATGCACTTTAGCACGGTAGGTGTATTAAGCTGTTTGGCCTGGTGTAGTGGATGGTGAGTTAGGTATAGTTATGGGAAATGTGTGATAATTAGCGTGGGGCCAGATCCTGGGTTGCCCTGAAAGTTTAGATTGAGGGATGTCACTTTGACGTAATAGGTTATAGGAAGCTGCAACTGCAGATCGGAGAGAAGTGACTTGAAAAAAACAATGTTGAGACAGTGGAATATAGTGTGAAGTGGAAAGTCTAGGGGAGAGAGATGAGACAGAGAGGACAGCTTGGAAGCTATCACAGTGGGAGAGGTATTTATGATTAGGGCCCAAACCTGGAAAATGAAAGTGCAAATGAAGAAGAAAATGCTAATTAGAAAGACACTTCTTCAGAAGACATGGTGAAACCGAATGAGGTTGAATATCAGAGATGAAGAGAAGGAAGCGATAAAAATGACTGAAGCCTTGGAATTGGACAGAATGATGATGTCATTGTCAGACATGAGGTCTATGGAAAGGGTTGCTTGTGGGAGATGGGGAAGAAGAAGAAAATGTATTTTAAATGAGGTTATGACAAACCAGGCCAGTGGAGATGGCATAGGGGTTTTGTAATCATTTTTAAAGAAGTGGTTTAAACTGTGAGGGTAGAAACACCCACTGAGTTTAGAGCGAGACCCAGAATAGAACCTTAGAGAATGTCCACAGTTGCTTGGATAACCTGGGTAATGGTAAGATAAGGGGATGTTATCTTTAATTGTATTTTCTGAGTGGTTAACTAGAAAGTGTTGGCTATTGTTGTTGTGGTTAAATTGTATCTAAAATGCTGTCTTAGCCTACTTCTGTTTTTTGGAGAAAAACTTGAAACATTTAAATATTTAATAGTCAAGCTCTTTTAGTGCCCTGAGTCATTATTCTGAGTTTCAGCTGTTAATTGTATAGCTGTGTAGTCTGACTTCTGTTATCGATAGCTGTCAGAGTTACAGTAGATTGGCTTAATTGTGTATTTGTGGGAGGTATCCTGGACTTCAAAACAATAACAACAACAAAACAAAGCCTTTTTGCAAATGTTTTTTGTTCCTCTGCCTTATTTTCTTAAAAGTAAGGTAGAATGTAGCAGAATTTTAACACCCCTCCAATTCTGTTAATTGTGAATTCTAAATTTTGTGTTGTTGATTTGCCCTCCATCTTTTTTCTGCAAAGGATTTGAGGAAGTTTAGCAAAAAAAAAAAAAAAAAACCAAAATTACAAGAAATACTAAAGGGAGTCCTCAAGTTAGAAAATCAGTAACATCAGATAATAACACAAGACTAGAACACAGTACAGAGCAACCACATGTCAACCCAGATAGGGAGGTCACAAAAATAAATCAAAGC